ACCCTGGAATTGCCAAAAAAGGTGCAAAGCACAATAGTACAAGATTTGGTGTTACATGCAAGTCAGAAGTGAAAGCGACCGGAATTCGACGAATTGTAGAGTTTCTTCGTTTTATTTGCTTCGGACCCTGATGAAAAAATTGATGAGAATTGCCCTAAGTATGATAGCCAATCAAGCATGACCCCCCCATAAGGGAAATTGTATTTTTGCTGCCCTACCCCATATTAGGGAAAATAAGGCCCCTAGGGATTCCCTCCATTACGGCCGACGGATCTCTGCAGTAGTTAGTATTATATGGAAGTGCAGCTCCGCTGCCGTCTATTGTTGAATCGCCATAGCAATTGCAACAGCAGCGCCAGTCAACATGGCGCCGGACAATGACGCAGCACTGCTCGCAGTGGGCGTCGCCGAGGGGGTGGCCGCAGTACCTGACGGACTGGAGGTGGTGGTAGCGTTGGTTGCGTTGCCAGAACCACCAGTAATACACTTGAGCGACTTGAGTTGATCGGGGGTGAAAGTGTCGGCCTTGCCAGGGTGGGTGGCCTTTGCAGTGCTCAAAGTTGTTCCGACCTTCCACGTGCAGCAAGGATCGCCGAGTTCTTCGCCGTTGGTGGCACCATCGGTGTCCGAATCTGCTTTACACAACTCAGTTGTCCACGCATTGTCGGCCTCATCGAACGCCAGTCCAAACGGGTTCCGAGGGCCGCCTCCCGACGGGTTGGTGTGTCCGATGGCACCGACGCCCTCGACTTTGTCGCCATTGGGAATCTTGGCCACGTATGAACCGTACGCTGCGGCCTGTGCGGCAAGACCAAGAAAAATTACAGCTTTGAACATGATGGCAAATTCGAATATGACTTTTAGTTGTCGTGATAATCAAGGGTAAAGTCGTGGCTTTGTACTAATATTTCGTTCGAACTGAGGGTGTCGTCGTTCTGGAACTCGAGAACGAGAACGATTATTTTAATGCTGATAGCACCACAAGAGAATATAGAACGCCACCATGTGTTTGACGTAACATATGAGCATGATTGGACTACATTTCAGATTTGTATCCAAATTAAATGTTTTCAGCCTTATGGTCACGACTTTTGAGGTGAAACCAATTCATGACACTCCTTAAAAACCTTGATGTTTGTATTCGATTAAATTAATATGCAAAATAATTTTATTTATAATATATTTGCATGCATTTCGCAATACGTAATAAAAATTTACATGAATTTAATTAGTCAGCGTAAAAAAATGCAGTCACATATTAATTCACTGCTGTGGATCAGACTTCAACATTGAGACATGTAATAAGGTATGGAGACGAATGTTATCATATCCAATCATACAAGGCCAACACGAAATATCGAGATGCTATTGGCTAAAAGTCCGACAGTCTCACAATTTGGTGCCGTGTCAACAATTGATGCATTATTAAAATACCTTAACGTTAGTTTCAATCCACAGAGGCCACTTACAAAGCCATCTGTTCACCCATGTGCTGCATAGTTGACGTACTACGGTCCGATTTTCCGGAAATCCTTCGCGTTTTTCCGCTTTCCACCATACCAAGTCTGTTTTTTACAGTTACAGTTATTACTGTAGCCATCTAGGTATTTGGATACGTACATGTCACATCTACATGTCCAACAACGGAAACGACCGGTATGGGAAATCGTTCAAGAAATCTGGATACCGTTCAGTCAACACTGAAAACCGTTCAAGCAATTTTTCTTCCCGTAACCCTGTAATTCGGGGAGTAAAAAAATATGCCTCATCTAATAACTAGAGTTTATTAGTTTGAACGGTTTTCAGTCTTGGCTGAACAGTATCCAGGTTTAATGAACGTTTTTCAGGGTTTGTCTCCAACAACAAAGGGTGACATGGACAGATCACTTGAAGTTGGCGTTATTCCCATACAGTACTACAGTAATTACCCGCACCTGAGGACACACTTCAGTGCAAGGATGCTTCCCATTGCAAGGATGCTTCCCATTGACATGGTTTGACAATGAATTCGTGAGTCCCTTACATTTCCGTGTCAACGCCCATGCGGTCACTGTACATTGCGCTCGAACTGTACTGCTCGTATACTGAGTTCGTTGAATATTTGATGACGCGCATGTCAATTGATTAACAGTTCTTCCTGTTAATACCATGCCACAATGTGCGGAGGTACACATACACGTGCAGTAGTTAGTATTATATGGAAGTGCAGCTCCGCTGCCGTCTATTGTTGAATCGCCATAGCAATTGCAACAGCAGCGCCAGTCAACATGGCGCCGGACAATGACGCAGCACTGCTCGCAGTGGGCGTCGCCGAGGGGGTGGCCGCAGTACCTGACGGACTGGAGGTGGTGGTAGCGTTGGTTGCGTTGCCAGAACCACCAGTAATACACTTGAGCGACTTGAGTTGATCGGGGGTGAAAGTGTCGGCCTTGCCAGGGTGGGTGGCCTTTGCAGTGCTCAAAGTTGTTCCGACCTTCCACGTGCAGCAAGGATCGCCGAGTTCTTCGCCGTTGGTGGCACCATCGGTGTCCGAATCTGCTTTACACAACTCAGTTGTCCACGCATTGTCGGCCTCATCGAACGCCAGTCCAAACGGGTTCCGAGGGCCGCCTCCCGACGGGTTGGTGTGTCCGATGGCACCGACGCCCTCGACTTTGTCGCCATTGGGAATCTTGGCCACGTATGAACCGTACGCTGCGGCCTGTGCGGCAAGACCAAGAAAAATTACAGCTTTGAACATGATGGCAAATTCGAATATGACTTTTAGTTGTCGTGATAATCAAGAGTAAAGTCGTGGCAAAACAATTACTGTACTAATCTGAACATATTTCGTTCGAACTGAGGGTATCGTCGTTCTGGGACTTCCATCGAATTCCGATTCCGTTCCATTAAAAAAAACACGAATATAGAAATATTTATAATATTTATATCCTACCACCACAAAGTTGCAATGCGCGTTGTAACCACCACGTTTTTCTCTGTTGACTCGCTAATGCTAGGAGAGCGCAATTACTGTACTTCTTCGAGTACCGGTACAGTAAGTAGTATGAAAACGGCGTGTTTTACGAATGACGTCCGATGACTTGTGTTTCGACAAGCAACTTAATACTAACTACTACGTAGTAGTTACATAACTTCATTAACTACACTCCGGTGGTAGTAGATCGCAGTTGCGTTATTGATTGATCACCTTGTCAAAATTCAAACGGCATTTGATAGGTATATTTGTGTAAAAAAACGAGGTAACGTTAAAGGTAATGTAAAAATTGTTGACACGCCACCAACTTGTGATACTGCCAGATTATTAGCCAGCAGAATCTCGCTACTTCAGGTTGGCCTTGTAGTATACATAACATTCGCCCCACATGTGCAACTTCACCAATGCCGAGTTCGAGATCCTCTACGGCATCGTTCAGAGTGCCCGGACAACGCGCTGGACTCCTGGCTGCGACAAGAAGTCACCAACCAGCCGGAAGGATGCGCGTTTATTAGTCGCATGCATGCAGTTTTTGGTTCCACCTGCTCAGTTGTTTCGGCTTTGTCGTACTTGAGTTTGTCAAAGCGACGTATTCTCCGACGTAAGCTTAACGCTAGTTGCATGTAAGCTTAAAGTTATTTAGTTGCATGTGGGTGTTCACTATGTCGAGGTCAAAATTATCAACGTAGTTGCAGGTACTACTGTAGTACTGTACGTAATCTAGAGTACTGTAAAACATGATAACGTTATTGTTTTATAGTGTGAAGGTACTGATACATTTCAGGAATCGTTGTTCGGGGAATCGAACCCCGACCCACTCTGACAATCAAATTATTTTACATATTAATTTAAACTCACAACAAACATCAAGGTTTATTAGGCATTTCGTGACTCAAAAGCCATAACCATAAACCTCAAAACATTTAAATTTCGATGAAATGTAGCCCAACTATGTTTAATGATACGTCAACAAAATGGTTTCATCTTATACTCTCTACCGTGCTATAAATTAGACCAAACACAATGTCATCAATTGGTACACCGTTGGCCATAATTAGTACGGATTGAGAATCAGTGTGGATTCAGAATTAGTGTGGTCCTGACTAATATGTGCATGATAGAATTCCCGAAATTTGTGGTTGGTACAGGTAACCGCATTGGAATTGGATCACAGTAATAGTAGTACTGTAGTACGTGCATATTTTTATACTTGGCCAAAAAAATATCAAAGGGATTCAGTCAATTGCATTTTAGCCAATAAGTGATCGACAAAATAGCGATATGCCATTCGTCAGATTCGACGATACCATCTGGCACTCATGATTCAAAATTCACTGTCAAATATAACGTACGTATGGTGCACGTCATCTAAAAACTTCCAACTGGCCAAATCGAGGAGTGGAGGTTTTATTATTTACTTCCTCTGTTTCATATTAATTCCATCATATGGAGTCCCAGCGACCCCAAAAATTCATTTTCGTCCAAACTTAATACCCAATATCACAACAAAAAGAGAATAAAAAACTGGAGGTATCGTCTATTGGCCACGAAGCACCAAAAGTGGAAATGGGTGGTCATAATCGACATCGTCCTAGCTCCACCAGATCAATTAAAATAAATAATTTATTTATTAAAAGAAATCCTGGTCCTGTGACCACATTTGAATATCCCGGCATGCGCGCAACAAGAAACGATTTGACGGAGGAGGTGAAGCGCAAAGTCATCAAAGCCCTTCAAGAGCGAGTGTGCATTGGCAAGCTGCCGCGCGGGACCATGAAGGCGATGGCAACCGAATTCGAACTCGATAGAGGCACTATACGCGAGCTGTGGCGACGCTTCCAGCAAGGCTGCCTGAAGTCGCGCAAGTACGGCCGCACGGGGCCGACAACACGCTACACAGCAGAAGTAGTAATTGCAAAAATACAAGAAATTCCTCGCATTTAACGTTCCAACATGCGCGACATCTCCGAAGCGAGTGGCATTTCAATCAGCACCATCAGCCGCGCCCTCAAGAAAGGAATCATCAAGCGCCGCTCCTCACGGCTCAAGCCTCTCTTGACGGAAGAGAACATGCGCGAACGTTTGCAGTACTGTGGTGCTCACGTCATGTTGACACAAGAAACGATTGATGCCCACCACGCCGAAGACATTGGCC